AGTATTGCGTCCTTCCTTGGCGCCCCCGGGTTTAGAACCCTTTCATCAGTAGTTCCCATGGAAGGTAGCAAAAGGTAGCAAAAGAAAAGAAAGAAAATAGAACAATTTATGAAATGTTGGGACGCTAGATATAGGCAAAGAAGAAAGAGGTACGATTATCGTGGCGGAGTGTAGTTTATGATGCCTTAATTCATTTCCCGCCATATGTTCTCAATTGGCCGCGGCCCACATATTCCGCACCTCACGCAACAGGGGCATATGCACTCCGGTATTTAACCCATATTTACGTAACTGTTATATAAACAATGGTATATCGTTTTGAAAAGATCCATCCCAACCATTCTTTTTTGATGTTAAACTAAGTTCCAATAATCTCTTTCTAAAATCCGAGTATTCTGAACAAGTTCTATAAATTCTTAGCACTTTCGATGTTAATGTATTAAGAAGAATGTATCTTGGTATATCTGACGTGCAGTTTGGATACCTAGTAACCTCAAAATTATAATCGTCCGTTTTGTTATAGAGACAAAATTTTATCCCTCTATCTTTAGTAGGTAATTGTTAGATCCAAAAAGTTTGTCTCCGAAGTTCTAACAGTTGTAGGCTCTATTTTTAATGAAGGGTAATAAATTTCTTTCAGTTTACTGGCAAACCTGCTCACATCTGCGGAAAGGTGTAATATGTCATCTATATACCTAAAAGTATAATTGAAAATTGCAACATTTTGCCTTTCCCTCATTTGTTTTTTAATGAAGGAGTACTCCATGTATGCTAAGGTTAGATCTGCAATTTGTGGCCTACATGATGCTCCTTGTGGTATTCCCTTTACTTGTTTGAATATTCCTCCAGCAAAGCATACATAACTACAGTCTAGCAATATGTCAATCATGTATAGAATATCTTCAATTTGATAATATTTACCTTGAGCTCTAGTTTCATGTGTGTATTGTACTATATTTTTATATACTCTAACATATTTATAACCTTTCATACATAACATAATTAGATTTTAAAGACTATTTCTTACCACATTATGTGGGAGGCTAGTGAAGAGGCTAGAGAAATCTGCAGAATAAATCTCCAGTTTTCTACCACTTCCACAAAGGTCATTGACTACTTGCCTACTGTTTTCTATAGCCCAAAGTATTTAGTATTAATTCTAAGGCTAATGACTTTGCAGTAGTTATGAGAATGTCTGCGAAAGTATGACAATATTATTTGTAAAGTATTGGCAAGGGGTTTCAAAGTACTTTTTCTTGCACCGGTTATATTAGGCCGTTCCGAAAGTAATGTCGCTTTTTTCAAACGTACGCCACATTTCGTGGAACAAAGATGTGTAAGAGATTCTGGTAGCATTTGATGCAGGATTTCATTCTCTTTCTAATGGTTATATAACTATCGCACAAAATTGAATAACCTCTGGGAAAATTATCGGAATCTGCGACCCATGCTTTTTGAGAAGGTGAAGTTTTACAATTTTTTCAAATTTTTATAACAACACCCGAAATGAGTCTAAGTTATGTATGAATAGAGTAGACCCTACGGGAAACAGCACAACTTTTTTCTATTTTTCAGAGCTCGTCATAATTTCTGTACAGATTTTTTGATGGAACCACCGAATTTAACAGGCTCGTCTCAGACACAAATGCATCAAACACCAAGAAATCGTCGGATTTTGAAACTCACAAAAATGGATTATGGTTTTGCACTAATTTTACAAAGCAAATGAGCGTTTACCGCTTCAGATTAGCAATTTTCGAAAATTCCGGGTACAGCCGGAGGCGCCCTGGAAAACCAGAATTATGGTAATTTTGTCTCAGAAAACTTGATGAATCGGAAACCAAAAACAGCTGATAAAAAGAGGAGAAAAAGCTGCGTCGAATGACACCCGAGTTGCTTGCCGGTTGTTGTTCTGTGAGGTTTGAGTTGACCAAATATGGAATTTGATAGCATTTTAAAATTGATTCCAGAAACTCTAAGAAGCAAGCTAAGGAAAAGAAAAAAATTATTCTATGTCCTATAGGGTTTGCTCTATCTACCTGCCACTTGTACTTCTTCGGAAAATAAGTACAAAAATTTTAAAAAATAGCCAAACTTGACCATGGCAAAAAGCATGAGTCGCAGATTTTGGTAATTTTTCGAGAGCTCATTGAACATTATGCAGTGAAATTAAAACCCATAGAAAGAGGATGAAATGCTGCATCGAATACTCCTAAGATCTCTTGAAAATTTTAATTCCATGAGATGTGGCGTTCGTTTGAAAAAAGCGACATTACTTTCGGAACGACCTAATATATCTAAATTTACTAGGGTCTTTATGCATTTTTGGAATCCCATAAATTCTTGGTATTTCTGTATACTCCTCCCTACTAATTATATTCATTTCATTCAACTTATGTTTGTGTATATCTTTTACTTGTTCCTTACATAAATCTGTAAGTAAGTACGTGTGGCCGTTTGTGCCCGTTTGTTGCATCTCATTTTTCAACATCTCCACATACAATTTTTTACAGGTAATACAAAAATTCGAACTGGCTTTGTCTATAGGTGTGATCACAAAGAATTCCTAAATGTATTTTAGGCTACTAGGACTATATTTGTCATTTTCTATCAAATCGTAATTGTCTAAATTGAATAGTTCGGGTTTTATGAATTTTATTACATGTTTTTTAATTTCTACTTCCAAGGCTTCCCTTATCTGTATGTTTGCTTTAGTTAAATTCAGTACCTTACTAACCATTCCCTTAACTAGTTTAACAACGTTTCCCAATATATCCTCTCTTAAAATTTTCTGATGAATGCGGTACTTTGTACCCTTCTTAAACAAATTTTTTAGTTTAATATCTTGAATTATGTCGAGATTTCCTGTGCATATATGCTTCAACTTATCATCTATAAACTGCGGAAACCTATCACAAATACATGCTTAGTTAACAATGTGCTCTACATTATTGTTATCTAATGTTTTAAGTATTATAATTACAAACTCGTACACCAAGTGGTGGATCTAGAGAATATCTTATGGCAAAACGAGCACTCTTGATAATGTTTTCGTGACTTATATGTTCAATAAGAATTCTCCTGATTGTACTACTGTTACATATTTTACCTAGTTTTAATTTTTCCAGATTCCCTAAATACGGTAACGTAATGGTTACTAATGTTGTATCATTACTAGGACTTTTTTGATTACTCCAAAAAGGTTTAGCTATCAATGCCGTATTTTGTATTTGTGTTCATATTCCAGATCAAAGAGTTGAAAAGAGTATGTTCTCGTCCTTTATCACGTGCATATGCCAACGCACGTTACCTTACCCGGAAGAACGTCAACCACACCAATAGCAACTGCAACAGTCGAAACCCCAACTATGCCACAAGTTCGAGGGCGAGCTTCTCGAAGGAATGGAGATGGAGACCCATTTTCCCTTTTTCCTTGTATTTGTATATACAGGGTGTCCCAAAAAAATGTGAACACTGTTTGATTGTTAATAACTTTCTTGCTTTCATGTCTTTCGCCGAGCTTGAGGCACCATTCTATAGAGCGAGGTTCAACTTAGATCTGCAGTGTGGAGCGAATCGTCGATCGCTCTTCATTACTGTAGGATTATGGTAGGAACTTCGACAAGGATCTTAGGCCATTAGAGGCCATATTCTCCTCGGAACAAAACCAAACAAGTCAAAAACTCTCATACTATGGTAATGGAAGCCGCTGATTTCGAATATGAAATTTCCACATTACTGTGATGCTTCTTTCCAAGGTTATCCCAGGTAAATCGTAATAACTGAATTTCCAGCATTTGTCAGAAAGGTGATTACACCGTCAAAAAAGCCGAAAACACTCGTTTTGGTGGGTACCAAGTGATTTGGGGTAGACGAGGTTGTGGAATATAGATTTATTCGCACGGGCGTAGATTAGTCGTGAAGAAGAGTCTATAATACAGTCGGGGGCTCCTTATATACATGGATACAAGGCGGAGCTTGCCCGGGTACAAAGTACAACGTAGAAGAGGTCCATGGCTTAAAAGGAGTTGCCGCCGTTCGGCCACACTCCTGGTGCACAGGTGACAATCATTCTTGAGTGATTAGATACTCAAGAATGGATGGCGTACAATTGAGCCTATGGGGATCCCATAGGCGATGTGGAAAAATGAATTGATTAGGTTGATGTTATGGAAATCATCAACACTCCGGGCGACTAGGGAAAAAATCAAGTGAAGTTGATGAAACAGAAGTAATCGCATGATGAACAAGCATTGGTGATAGGATGAATGAAATCGTATACACGATTACAAAAAATTACACGCACATCAATGACAATTTTATAATTTTTGGAACACAAAAAATGGTGAAGGCTAAGGCGGCTATGATTGCGATGGTAGCCACGACGAGCATCTTCCATGACGAGAGGGCGACGCTGATGATGTGTCCAATGTCGGGGTAGTTGTAGACGTTGACGTACGAAGCTTCCTCGCTAGCATTCGTGAAGAGTACTCCGTTTTCGTGTGGGTGGTATGCCAGGATACCAGAGATGTTGAATACGTGGCTTTTCGTTCCGCATCTCAGTGAACATCTGTCGACATAGTTAGCGACGGTCGATTGAAGTAGAGCAACTGTCTGCACTGTGTTTTCATTGCAGAAGGCAGCGTAGGTGTTCTGCGTGCACGTTATCTCCACCATTGTCGGGTGCGGTGAGTGACAAGAGAAGGTAAGTCGTGCACCGGTCACGCAGTTGTAGCATCCTTGTATCGGTGAGGCTGTGATGTCGCAGTCTTCATTGTTGACAACACTCGCTGTATTCCATTCCGCAGTCGTGCTGATAGTGACGTCGACTATGGATTTGTGGCTGACTCCAAGTACTCTTCCATGGGCTTCTTGTAGATGTAAGAATGAGGAAGAGAGTGGCAGTCTGCTATCCATCGATGTCGTCAGATCCGATATGTTCGTGTTTTTGCAGATACAGTTAGCTTGGTCATCCGTCGGGTAGCACTTGCAAGTGTCTTCTACATGGCAAAGGGAGAGGTTTCGAGAGCTTTCCATCGTTGGGCATCTGAGCGCAAATACATCGTCGTTGTCGACCAAGGCAGTTTCCGTTTTAGTGGTGTTGACGGTTGCAAAAATACAGAACTCAGTAGCGGAATCGTTGGCGTTGTCACGAATTCCAGTGTAAGGTTAGCATCCTTTTGAGTGTGAGTAGTCTGCGCGGTGATTGTGGCGATATTCATTTCTCTTCGTCCATTAACACTTGTGTAAGTGTATTTGATGATTGCCGATTCATCCCAAGTCGGGCAGTGAAACACTTGGTAAATTGTTTCACTTTGCGGTTTCCCATATGAGCGGGAGAAGAGACATCCAGGTAGAGGTAGAAGGCAACCACATCCGATGCTTCCACATGACGAGGTGCACCTTGAGTATCCAGGAAATTCATAGGTGTTGTGAAGCTCAGGTATGTAGGATCGCTGGCTAGTGTGAGCACATGTGTTGGATGAACATGATCCAGAAAAATGGCATCGCTTTGCTGACTCGGTCACTATCTCGGCATCTCTGGTGTAGAACAAGACTACGGGATTGCATTGGAGTACGACGTGTTGGAGTTGTATCTCCATGCTGCCAACTGTCTTGTTATCATGTTGAATCCTGAAGCAAGCTTGAGGTCGGTGTTCGCTTAAGGTTATCCTGTTTTCGATAGTGTAGCGACAGTTGAGCGTGTTATTGATCCTCATGCAAATGGTGTTCCTCGACGTGAGTGTGTGAGTGTACTGGCATGAATTGACTCCTGCGATGAGACATGTTGCAATAGCCACAAATGTGATCATCTTTGATTGGATTGGTAGAGATCGGGATTGTTTTCCTAGAAGCTCGGAAAGTCGATCATTCGCAGGAGCGACAGGATTTTCCGTTGGCATCTCGTTCTCGCTAGTTCGGCACAAAAGGCGTTTTCCTTGAAGTCCAGTGTAGCAAATGAACCAGATGAGCAGCATCATAAGGTATGCGCAAACTGCTGTGATTGCTACCGCGGTGTTGGGGGCGCAGTGTGGATTCCGAAGCAAGTCTGCACAAACTGTGCATTTGATCATGTCGCAAATGTCTCTTGGTGGGCAGATAATGGTGTCGGAGTACTGTGTTGCTCCGATCATGGTGCGCCATTGAACTCGATGTTCTGTTGTGCGGTACTTCGGCGGAAGCGCTACTTCGTTCATTCCTTTCTTCGTCGAGATTTGCAGACAGTCCTTATAATTGAGACATAATTGTGATTCAGATTCCGAAGTCGTGTTGACTTTCACTCCATGTTCAGAGCAGGATAGCACATTTGCGGATGTCGTATCAATGAGAAGAAGAGCTGTCAAGCATATTGTTATCATCACTGACTTGCTGATTTGTGAAGCGCTTTTCTTTATGGTGGAGGAATTAGAAGATGCGTAGTCCACAGGTTTTTTCGCAGCTCTCTGTGGTTGCTTGCGAGGTTCAGGTGCAGTTGTCGGTTTCTTCCTGAGCGCTTTTTTAACCTTGGCCACTATTCCTCCTTTTTGTGGCGTTGAATCCTGTCTCTCATCTTCGTGTTCTATCGTTGAACGAATTTCTAGGGGGACTATGCGATTGAGAGGTCTTTGAATCTCTCTTCCAGATGTGGTTCTCAGGATTGCGCTTCTGATTTCTCCATCTTTGCTTAGTACGAGTTGCGTTATAACAGCCATGGGCCAGTGTCCTCGGTTCAATTGTGAGTCTTCGTCAAGCAGTACGACGTCTCCAACTTCTGGTTTGCGATTTGTGGTTCTTCCATTCTTGAAAACATGGTGACGGTCGCGAAGTTCAAGGAGGTAGTCGTGTTTCCAAATACTCCAGAACTTTTTCGTTATCTTCTCGGTCTCCAGAAGAACTGTTTTGGCTTCCTTTTGTGATGAGAGTTCTGGACTTATCCGGTAATCTGGATCCTGTACATCATCGTCGGCGGGTATAAGTTGAGTGCTTCCGAGCCGAACGTCCTTATAGATGAAATCTACTGGTCTCAAGACCTGGCAAGAAGGGTCGTCTTCGCCTATGTGAGTCAATGGTCTTGAGTTGACGATGCTTTCGATTTCACATAACGACGTGTGAAGAAGTTCATCTGTTAATTTCCATCGTCCGATAGTCTTCTGCATTGCTCTTTTCACTAGTCCAACCATTCTTTCCCAAACTCCTCCCATCCATGGTGAAGCTGGAGGAATGAAGAACCAGCTGATGCGATGTTCGGCGAGGAATAGTGACAAGTGGTCGGTATCATCATTACTGACGTTGTTGCTGAGTATCACTTCGCTGAGGCAGAAGTTGGTTCCATTGTCGCTAATGATCTTTTCCGGTACTCCTCGTCGTGCGATGAATCTCTTGAATGTGAGAAGAAAGCTTTTTGCAGAGAGGTCTGTAGCTACTTCCAGGTGTATCAGCCGAGTGACTAAGCATGTGTATAGTGCTACGTAGCGCTTCTCATCTTGTCCATTTGGCACCTTGATAAGTATAGGTCCCATATAGTCGACTCCCGTGTAGGCGAATGGTTTTGCTTGAGTCACTCTTTCTCGTGGAAGAGGGCCCATATCTGGATACGTGAAGGGTGACGAATTGAATTTCTTGCAAGTAGTGCAACTTCGCAGAACTTTCTTGCAAAGCACTCTGTCTCTCGGTATCCAGAATCGTTGTCGAAGCTCGCACAAAAGCTGGTTGCTTCCGCAGTGAGCCAAGTGTCGATGGGTGTTTTCGGCGATCCTAAGTCCCAGTAAACTTTGTTTGGGTATGTACATGGGATTGGCTATGTCTGATTGGGTTTGAGCATGTTGTATGCGTCCGCATCTTCGTAGGATTCCTTCTCCGTCGTATACAGTTTTGAACTGCTTGTTTTTAGAGACCAGAGCTGTCCCGTAGATCCGCTGTTCTTGCAAGACTATATGTTTTTCAGCGAAAATAAGCTCAGCTGCGTTCGGTAATCGTGATGTCCCTTGGTCTTCTTCTGCCATTTTGAAGCGGCTATTCTTGCTTGCCATGCGGATGAAACGTAGGCAGTATGCCACAACTCGCTTCAATTTGGGGTAGCTGCTTATCGTAGCGACTGGCCAATCAGAATTGCTTTTGCTAAGGTCTTCTGTAGTTTGATGAGTGAGCATTTCGCACTCGTCATCGACACTGTCTTTGACATCACTGATGGAACGTACTGGCCATTCTTTATTTGGGTGATTGAGCCAACTTGGTCCTTTCCACCATCTGCAAGCTGTGAAGTCTTGCTTGTTGATTCCTCTTGTTGCGCAATCCGCTGCATTTTCTTCTGTTGGGACGTGGAAGAAGTTGAGTTTAGCTGTTTCTCTGATCCTTTCTGCGGCGAAGCTGATTTTTTGAACCAGTGTGGTTACAATCGGTGGAAGCTTTTTGCTGCTAGCTATCCATGATAGTGCGATCGTTGAGTCGCTGAAGAGGTTGACTTCTGAGAAGTTTATTCCGCATTTTGACATGGTTGTTTCGGCTACAGATAGTCCGAGAAATATTGACAACAGTTCTAGTCTTGGAATAGTTTGTTCCTTCTTGATGGGCGCCACTTTCGCTTTTGCTGTAAAGAGTGATGTGCTCTTCATACCATTCTTCGCTGATGTAGTCGTATAAAGACAGCAAGCGTAAGCTCGTTTGGAACTGTCAACAAATATAGAAAGCATATATTTGGCCTCGGGAGTCTTGTTAAGCACTGTGCGTGGTATGGCTTTCTTGAATCCGACTATGTCATCCTGAATGGTCTTCCATCTTTGAATTTGCTCCTCAGGAAGAATGGTGTCCCATCCTAACTTCAGCTTGTGTATGTCCTGTAGGAATATCTTTGCCGGTATCATCAGTGGTGTGAGCAGTCCGAGTGGGTCGAAGCAGAATCCGTTTATTTGGCTAAGAACAGATCTTTTGGTGATCTTGACTTGTTCTTTGTCTGCACATTCCATGACCAAGGTGTCATCGTCAGCTTTCCACTTGATTCCGAGCACTTTGAGTTCGCGATTTGTTGCTCTATCCACGTCCTTGATTTGTGCGTTCACTGCAGCAGAATCTGACAAGTAATCGCGAAGATTCATGCCGATGGAAGAGAACACTTGTTTTGAAGAATTGTATTTCTGGATCAGTTCTTGCGGATTGTCGCCTTCTAGTAGCACATTGTCGACATACAGAGATTTGGATAGTTCCTTTCCTATTGGGGTGCCCTTCTCTTCGATGTGCTTGAGTATGGACTGATTCAAGATGGCTGGGCTTGCATTTATTCCAAAAGGTACCCTGCAGAAGCGATAGTATTTGACGTTGTCGCCTTCGGGTGGTGCATTCAGGTCCTTAATCCACAGAAATCTTGTCGCATCTCGATGGTTTTCGGGAAGACGTATTTGTAGAAAAGCCTTTTGGATATCGGCCACCATTGCATGTTTGTAGGTGCGGAACAGCAGTAGAACTTCATGGATCAGGGGTGTGAGAGCATGTCCTTCAAATATGACGTCATTGAGACTCAGCTCGTTTCTTCCGTGAGATGAAGCATCGAAGACAATTCGAAGTTCGGTTGTCTTTCCAGGTGTCCAGACATGTCTATGTGGAAGGTAAAAGGAAGTTACTCCAGTTGGTTGTGAGGTACATTCCTCAATGATTCCTTCCCTGGTGTAGTCTTCGATCGTCGTGTTGTAAATTTGAAGCTTTTTTGCATCTCTTCGGAGCGTTCGAAGGAGTGCTTGTAGCCGGCGAAAGGCAATGTTGAAGTTGTCTTTGAGTTTGCTAACGTTTTCATTGAAGGGGAATCCTGCTGTGATTGTGCCTTCTTTGATGATGATTGTTCTCCTGTAGTCATCCATGAACTTGATTATGGATGCTTCATCGGGATCGCTTTCGGTCTTCAAACCAAGAGATTCGAGCTCATAGAGGTGTTTGATGTCCTGTTTGTAGTCTTCTCTTGGTGAAACTGTTGGAGTTGCAACCACTAGTGAGCTTCCATAGACTTCAGTAGTGCTTGCTGTTGCTGTAACCAAGCTTGTTCCTGATATGGTATAACCAAAGATGGTAGGGGTGAGGATTAATCCTGAAGGGAGTGTCAGTACTGGCGTGCTGTGATCTATGACCGTGTTGAGGATGTCCTGGCCAATGAGAATATCAGGCGACACGCTAGTTCTTGCGAGCGTTTGCTGTGCTATGTCCAGCTTTTTATTTGAGATGAACTGAAGATCTGCGTCAGTGAGATGTGCCGTGTCCAAACTGGTGGTGAGTTTTTGCTTCGTGTGTACGGCCATCTTCTTCAGTTTGTTAGGACCTCGCAAACTTTTCAAGGTGATCAGCACCTCGTGGGAGTCGAAGACTTCTTGCAGTTCACCCATTCCGGATGTGGTGAATGACGTTGTTCGGACGATCGGAAGCTTATATGTCTCGCTAAGGTTTGACTTGATGAAACTTCTTTGTGCTCCTGAGTCCAGTAGTACTGTAATAGGTTGGTAGTCCCATTGTTCTTCATTGAAGATCATCGCTGTTGCGATTTGAAGCACACACTGATTGTGAACGATTGGAGCTTTGTCTGCAATGTAGCTTTCACATCCATTTTGTGAGTTTTGCACAGCTCGTATTTCGTTGTTCGGTGGTCGACTCCGTTGGCTGGAGTGTTGCTGTGATCGACCTGGTAGTGGCGGTTGCTTTGCCACATTTGCAGGTCGGCGTGTTAATGCAATATATCCATTGTCTTGCTTCTTTGCATCTGAGAGGCAGAGAGATCCATGATGTGAGTCTTTGCACTTAGGGCACACTCCAGTATTCGTACAATCCTTCGAGTTGTGATTCTTGGTGAAACACCTCCAGCACACCCTTTGACTTCTTGCTTCAAGGCGTCGGGCTTCCGGTGTGGTAAACCTCTGACAGATGTAAGGAGAATGTGGTTGTCCACATAAACACAAGCGTTTTGGTTTAGAGAGCTGTCTTTCCTCTTCCCATTTCGTCCTATTGCTCCTTCCATTTTGCTGAGTGTCTTGGCGGTAACTGGTTGGGAAGAGAGTTTCCGTTGTAAGCGAAGTGGTTTCCCGCAGTGAGATAATGCCATCGATAGCATCAAGGATTTTGTTAACATCGAAGGGTTCATCTTCTAACGCTTCTTTTTGGATGGCGGTCGTACAAAAGGACTCGGGAAATTTGGAGAAGATTATTCGACGCCAAACTCTGTCTGCATTGAGCTTCATTCCCGTCTGTTCTAGATGAATGATCCTTGTGTTGATTGCTTCAAAGGTGTCCCGGCAGCTCTTCGGATTGTCTGACGCCCTCGGAAGTTTTTCGATCTCATTTATGAGTATGTCTGCCATGTTGGCAGACCGATCGAAATGTTTTTTCAAGATCTCTATCGCTTTTTGGTATTTCTCTCCAACAACGGGTATGCAGCTCAAGGTGGCTGCTGCTTTCCCCTTCAGTGCTTGCTTTAGAAAGAGGAACTTGTCAGTGTCGGATAGGTCTTCGTCGGCATGGATGAGAGATTCAAACACTGTCCAGAAGCTGTTGAACTCTCTGAAGTTCCCTGAGAAGGTAGGGATTTCGAGCAGAGGCTTCCGGATTTTTATTTGCCTTTCGTTGCGCTCTGGGAGGCTGCCGTTCCAGGTCTGGCCTTCGTCGCTGGCTGCATGACTTGATGTGCTTGGCAGACTGGTATGCAATAATGCAGCTTGATCCTTCAATTCGTTTTGACGGAACTGAACTTTGTTCTGCCACTGCACGACCTTGACTTCCAAATGAAGAGATTCCAACTCCAAGTGTTTGCTGAGTTCTGTCATAAGCTTGTCTCTCTCTTTTTCTTCATTTCGTGCTCCAATGTATTCGATCGCGGCGTTCACTTGTGTGTCTTGAAGTTTAACCGCATTTTGCAGAGAGTTGAGCAAATGCGTTATCTCTCCCATTTTGGTTTTGATGTACGTCTCGCATTCAGTCCTTTCTACCGGAAAAGTGAATGGTGTGTTTATTTCGTTCACTTCCGACTCGTATGACTTCACGAGTGCGCAGGCATTGTTGATTTTTGACTTAAAAATCTGAAGCGCTGCCATTTTTTGGTTTTCTGCACGGGGTAGGGTCGTGCACTGGTGTAGTGATTCCAAGCGTTCCAATTCGGACGTGTGTGTCCTCCTTTTGTTGGTCGCTTTGGCTTGAGGGCGGCAGCAGGGCTGGCCTCGATACGATAGCTGTCCTTACTGGTTGCAAGGAAGCTTTCTAGTGAGCTGGCAATGGAGTGCCGAGCGTCTACTAGCTGTCAGCAAGCGCGCCTGGTTGGCTTGTACGCTGTACTGGACGGTAAGGTGTTGGAACCTGTCCCGTGGATGTAACGATCCAAAGCTCAAGATCGGTGAACCGACCGTGAATGAGCTTGGAAAGTTGAGATTTCTTTGCTAACTGTGGATGGACCAGTCAGTCAGCTAGAAAATCTCCTTGCTAAGCTATGGATATGACCTGATAGCTTCGCAAGATGACTCTTGTTTGTGAAAGTGGTGAACCAACAATCACAGAGTCTTTTTGGCTGGTTGAGGCCCAAAAAGTTCAAGGATTTCTGTTGCTAACTGTGGTGGACCAGTCAGTTAGCTAGAAAAACCTCTTTGCTAGGCTATGGATATGACCTGATAGCTTCGCAAGATGACTCTTGTTTGTGAAAGTGGTGAACCAACAATCACAGAGTCCTTTTTTGACTTTAGGAAAGCCAAAAGTTTCGAGGAGTTCTTGTACTAACTGTGGTGAACCAGTCAGTTAGTTAGAAAACCTCTGCTAAGCTATGGATATGACCTGATAGCTTCGCAAGATGACTCTTGTTTGTGAAAGTGGTGAACCAACAATCACAGAGTCCTTTTTTGACTTTAGGAAAGCCAAAAGTTTCGAGGAGTTCTTGTACTAACTGTGGTGAACCAGTCAGTTAGTTAGAAAACCTCTGCTAAGCTATGGATATGACCTGATAGCTTCGCAAGATGACTCTTGTTTGTGAAAGTGGTGAACCAACAATCACAGAGTCCTTTTTTGACTTTAGGAAAGCCAAAAGTTTCGAGGAGTTCTTGTACTAACTGTGGTGAACCAGTCAGTTAGTTAGAAAACCTCTGCTAAGCTATGGATATGACCTGATAGCTTAGCAAGACTCGTATTAGTGAAAGTGGTGGACCAACAATCACTAGAGTCGAATATTGGCTAATTAGTAGCCGAGAGTGCGAGGAGTCTGTCGCTAACTGTGGTGAACCAGTCAGTTAGCTAGAAACCTCTACTAAGTTGTGGATAGGACCTGACAACTTAGTAAGACTCTTGATCGTGAAAGTGGTGGACCAGCAATCACGAGAGTCGAATATTGGCTATAGTAGAGCCTGCCACGCGGGTCTTAGGCCTTGATTTCTCGTGTCCTTAGGAGGATTCGCCGAGAAATGCAAGGAAAATCACTGGCCGATGCACCAATTTGGTGGGTACCAAGTGATTTGGGGTAGACGAGGTTGTGGAATATAGATTTATTCGCACGGGCGTAGATTAGTCGTGAAGAAGAGTCAATAATACAGTCGGGGGCTCCTTATATACATGGATACAAGGCGGAGCTTGCCCGGGTACAAAGTACAACGTAGAAGAGGTCCATGGCTTAAAAGGAGTTGCCGCCGTTCGGCCACACTCCTGGTGCACAGGTGACAATCATTCTTGAGTGATTAGATACTCAAGAATGGATGGCGTACAATTGAGCCTATGGGGATCCCATAGGCGATGTGGAAAAATGAATTGATTAGGTTAATGTTATGGAAATCATCAACACTCGTAGAAAGTTGTGTAATGGAATCAGCGTGCAAGAAAACCCTACACGATTTTTCAGATTTGTTGATAAAAAATTTTGTCAAATGGCTTATTTCACAATAGATCCACATGCTAGAAGTGCATACCGTAATCCTACAGTAACGAACAGCGACCGGTGATTCACTCCATACCAGAAATTTAAGTTGGACCTAGCTCTACAGAATAGTGCCCCAAGCTCGGCGAAAGACATGAAAACAACGGACTTACTAACGATCAAACAGTGTTCACATTTTTTTGAGACACTATATTGAATATTGATATATTAAACTCATGTAAATACCCGCTACACCAAGTAAAGGCAAGGCCAGCCTTTATCCTGAAAACTTCATATCAAAATTCTTCATGTATTTTGGAGATGAGGTTTTTGTTACCGCTGTAGGCAGGTTCTGCGTCAAAGTCCTGACGTTCGTTTCATTGAGTAACACATCAGCGTTGTTCGTGAAAAATCGATAATATATTTAGAGACGGAGTTCGGCATTTTGCCAAAAGAAAAGCGAGAGAAACAGAAAAAAATTCTTTAATTGTTCTTTATCTTCGTTCTTCAATTGGCTTCGCTCTAACGACACGTATGGATGTAAGAGCTAACAGAGACAAATACAGAAAAGAGACCCATCAAAACATACATGTAGATATTTGACAGCGATACAGGCGCCATTGAAGGAGAAGGGTTTTTGTCAGAAAGCCAATACTAAAATCAGGGTTTTTGAATGGAAGATGAACGAGTTAAGAGTTCATCAAACTCAAATTCAAATATGACAGCAAACCGCAGTTTAGAGGCGTTAAGTATATATAGAGGCAAGAATGCTTAACCACAAATCGCGAAAAAAGTTGCGAAACTGATGTGATACGTGCAAGATATGGTATGAGGAAGTCTAACGGGTTCCACATCATAAAACAGTAATCAACTACATAACATCATCTTGTGGTATGAATGAAACTTCTTCAAAATTCGAAGAAATTTAAGTAAGTTGCCATTATTACATCAATAGTCATCAACTTCTCTGGATGGAATCATGCTAAAAGTAAATCACGATCAAAAGACTTTTAACCAAAATTCTGGCATAGATCTTACTTAGATTAGATTTTGAGAACTAGCATCAATATTGCCAGTATGAGAGAAAGGTCAAACGAGAGCGAAGAAATTAAATTTGAAACACTAGTCGTGCTGAATGGGAGCAGTTTCGCGCACTCTAGCCCGCGATGTTATGTCACATTACGTGTTAAGTTGCTCGTAAGTTGCGAAACACATTACGTGTTTCGCAAGTTACGAGCAACTTACGGGATTTTTCTCTCTGTCTGTGTCTCGTCTTTTGTATACACTTTCTCCTTAAGATCATCTCAAAATCGACGCTTTCTTACGGAAGTCAGGTGAGATCATCCGGCATGTGCCCTGACGCTCACGTGTCAGGTCACTGCGCATTTTTATAGCATGTGGAAGCGGCCGCAGGTCGGCTCATGCAAACCTTATCTGAGGCCCTCACAGATTACGGATCTGACCGAGCTTTACTACGGGCCATTGTCTCACATCAATACTTCTTGTAAAAGAGAACGTCGAATAGGATAAATATCAGCTAACGTTGTGAATAAGCGTTTTTTGATAGAAACAAGACGAGGGAAAGGGTTACGTCACAAACACTAAATACGATGCAGCTTCCAGTTGCCGTATTCATCAACGAACCCAGCGGTTCCAGAATCCATTGTGTAGGCTCAACCCACAAAACCGGTCACGAAACTAATGGGTTTTGGAACCCAGTGGGTTAAGCCTACCCAGTGGGTTCCGAAACCCACAGAAAGCCACTTAACCGGTATTCACGAACAAACCCAGTGGGTGCGCGAACCCAAAAGTCAAACATACCGGTATTCACGAAACAAGTTACCCATTCTTGTGGGTTCCGGAACCCACTGAGCACTGGGTTGGCGAACCCAGGCATGGTGCAAATTCCCAAGTGGGTTACATGCGAACCCAGTCTTCTTGCTGAATATTGTGTGGGTTTATATAAGCAGAATTACTATTAGCAACACATATACACTAATGATACGTTCCATATTTTTTTATGACTGAGAAGAATTTTGTTGGATAAATTTTGATAAGATATTCTGCTGAGACCTAGGACTAGCTTGATGCCAATCACAATTTGGCAATCTTTGAAAAGTCGCAAACAAGCTTTTGCGGAAATTTTTGGTGAAAACGTTAAAGCCTATGCATTTTCCGATGTTTGTGCACAGTATCTCGGAATTTTTCAGATACTACTGCGGCTAAAGAGAGAGCCTCATATAGGAAGCAAAGCCTCTGCCTGCATTCGTGTTACGTATTCGTTTGTACATGTTTGTTCATGTTTGCCATGTTCGTTTATTCCGCAGATTAATTGAAAGAAGTTCTCAATCCAATCAAGTCAGCAAACGAACGCTTCAAAAAAAACGGGAAAAAGGTTTTAATCAAAATCATTTGTTCCTTGTCTTCGTGGAGTGAAAAATGGGAGGGGTACAGGTAGTAATCATGGTAGTCACGTACTAGTTTGCATGATAGTGAGGACTCGTACAACGTGATTCCTTCGCACATTCCAATCTAAGGACATCTACATCTCCCCTTCTGGCGCCCTCGCCAAGAAATACAACAGGAAAATTTAGGCAATTTTCATGACAGCTATTTTACTTGTTACCACCAAATTTAATCTCTCCGCTCAAGCCAAATGAAACCGCTCAAACAAATCTAAAAATTGATAGAATCGCTAATTTCGACAATAATTATTTTACTAGTGATTATCGCAATCTATCACCCCCTGCACCAAGTTTGGGCAATCTTCCACAAAAAACCAAAAATCGATATACCAATCGATAACTTTGATAACGATCATTTTATTAGTGACCACCGCATTTAATTATCCCCCTGCACCAAGTTTGGAATCTTCCACAAAAATTCAAAAATTGATAATAACTTTGATAACGATCATTTTATAAGTGATCACCGCATTTGATTATCCCCCTGCACTAAGTTTGGGTAGCATAGATTAATAACATCAGTCCACATTCCAGTGTAGGATACCTAGGTCTGAACGAAATCCATCATTGGAGGGTTGAGCCAGACTTCGCGGGGAAGCGGCGTACGCGGCGTACGCAGCGTACGCTCGGTATATTTCATCATAGGAGCATACGCGGCGTACGCTGCGTACGTCGCGTACGCCGCTTGGAACCCTCAAAAGTGCAAGAAGCCACCTCCTCTTGCAATAACTACAATCTGCCCCAATCCTAACCAGGCCAAAATTGTATTGGCGGGAGCGCGCGCCGCGAGGGTTTCGCGCCACTTCTGCGTCTAGCTAGTCTGCTCTCTCCTTCGCTCTCTGTGACAGCGCGCTTATGTATAAGCTCCTGCAAGACGAAGGCGGTCGGTTCGAGGTACGACGTGGCTGTGACGCGGCTGTGACTCGGCTGTGACGCAGCCAGGTCGCAGCCGCGTTGCGCATTGAATCGACCGCCTTCGTCTTGCAGGAGCTTATATACATGATTGTTTGCATTGCGCAATAATCTTACCATTCTCTTCTTATTATTAGCTGCGGCTGTCATCTTGTTTGATGCGCACTTATGATTCAATTCCATACATTCATATCTTTGCCATTAGAGTATTCTTATCCCATGAAGAGCAGAGCAAAAATTCCAGTAATGAAAGTGCTGAAAAGGAGACCATTGAATAACTAATTGAAGCAGTCCCAGCGATTTTCGCGAGCGGGTAGACCCTTTGGAGTTTCTAGATGATGACCGCTTTCGGGAGCAGTTTCGTCTAAGTCGTGAAGGGCTCTACCGATTGTTGGCTTTGGTGCAGGACGACTTGGCCCTGCCACCGTTAGAACGCAATCGATCAGTAGCGCCCACAAACTGGCAGTCTTTTTAGAGCATGTGGGGAGTTCCAGTCTTCAGGTAATGCTAGCCTAATTGTGTATGAAAATACATGTAAAGTTTAGAGGATCACTGCCATAACTCTCGGCTGCTCCCAATCAACAGTATCTAGCATAATAGCGCAAGTTTCCGACTTGTTTTATGGAAGCCGGAAGAAATTCATTAAATGGCCAAAGCAGAATGAGCAGCAGCATATTCAGAGAAGGCTGGTAAATTGCACTCTTTCCTGGATAAATTCCGTTATGTAGGTTTTTCGAATTATGAGGAATTCCAAATGTTGTCGGAGCGCTCTATGGATCCTACGTGAACATCATCGCACCGAGTGTTTTTGAAGAAGCTGCGTGAATTGGTAACAAAGTTACATATGACAAATCGCGCTTACGCACTAAAAAAATGTCTAAAAAGGACTTTCGTTGCATAAACATGGCAACAGTATGCGACCTAGATCAGCGCTTTTTGTGGGTGAGCGCTATTTTCCCAGGCAGAGCAAAAGGAAAAGGAACGTAGCTAATCAAAAGGAACGTGGCTAATCCCTCCCTATGGGGTAAAAGATAACTTTGAGCAAGAAACATTACTTTTACAAAGAAGTAAGGACTTGGAGTACAGTCCTCGCCATGCAACATTTTCTGCACATATAGTCGACAGAGTGGGGGGTCATAGTCAGGTCAGGGGGGACGGGGGAGGGGGAAGTTGGATACAAACAAGTGATTTCTTGCTGAAAACGTACCAAAAACCTTGCCGTGGACAAAAGGCAAAACAGAACAACAAAGCATACATTTAGGAACAAACAAGTGGCAATGTAAGAGCAACGACGACGACTCAAATTGAAAATGTAGTCAAGAAATTCCAACTTTTTTAGGCGTCAATTTAGGCGTGTAGTTAATGCCACCTTGTCACTAATCTCCATTTGAAAGTAGGACTTTGAAAAAAAAGAACGTGGCTATTTCCTCCCCATGGAGTAAAAGACAACTTTGAGCAAGAAACATTACTTTTACGAGGAAGTAAAGATTTGGAGTACAGTCCTCACTTTGCAACTTTTTCCGCACATATAGTCGACAGTGCAGTGTGGGATCATAGTCAAGTGAGGGAGAAGTTGATAGAAACAAGTGATTTCTTGCTCAAAACGTATCAAAAACCTTGGGGTGGACAAGAGGCAAAACAAAAACAACAAAGCATACCTTTAGGAACAAACAAGTGAAAACTTTAGAGTAACGACGACGCCGGAAATCGAAAATATGGCCAGAAATGAAAAATTCTGATTTTCTTAGGCGTCAGAATAGGCGTGAGATTCGTACTCTACAGACAGTACGCACTTTTTATATTTTGACGCCTAAGTCAAAAGCGGTGACATTTTGACCGGGATCAATACAAATATGAATAAATATGACACAAATCAAGCAAAAACGATTTCAGCTTCCTGCAAGTACCACTTTGTCACTGATGGTGAGGATTCCGTTTGAAAGGCGCACATATAGTTGTTATGTATAGCAAAAGCATCCCTAAAATAAAACTTAGCTACGCCTTGCACGTTGACAATCAATCTTTTCAAACTACGTAGATTCATATATGTTAGCTATGTCATGCAATCCTCAAAAGTATGCTAATATCCCCCTTATGAGGTAAGAGACAATGCTACAAGAAAGATCAAGAAAGATCACTTGCACAAAAAAGGGTAGAGTTCAAGGCGACAGTCATGTATGGGTCCGAGAGAATACTCAAATAAGGAAGGCTAACGAAATGCAGTTTTGTTGCACAAAAGACATTGATTGATGCCATTTATCCGAACATAAGAGTTCCCGAAAGCGTGTCAAGCGTACTGCCGCTTTTAGTTTAGCGCGATTCCTATGTGTCAGAGATAGGGAAAGTAGTACACAGAATTGGAGAGGCACGTGACGTCATGAGTTGGCGAAAACAGCGGGGCACTTGTGAATGCCCATCTTACCCACTGGGTTCGCGAACCCAGTGTATTGTATTGCGCCATGTTGAAACCTCTTCTTGATTCTCACTCACGATCACGAAACGGTCATGTGAACCGGGTGAGGGTCCGGTAGCGCTGCTTTTCACGCCTTAGATTTATGAAATTTCTATTAAGTTCCTCTTGATATCCTTTGAGTGCAGGTACAACTTTGACAGTCTAGAGACGAGCCTCAAAAGTGAATGTTGTTTGCGGCGCTGCCTCCATAGAAAGTGAAGGTTGTCTAAGAAAATTAGAGAAGAAGAAAACTATGTCAAGCTAAATAACAAAGGCAAAAGATGCTGGGAAACTGGGTAAACGCCGTTGTTAGCTTGAGTCGCTGATTTGGCAGTTATTTGGAAAGCATGGTTTCGCTTCAGGATCCGCCGGCTCACAATTTGTGGGAAAACATGAAAAAGCCGATTTCTTTCCTGCAAGTCTTGAGGCGAACACATTTTTGGAGTGGCAATTGTAGGAGCAAGGCAAATAGGAAAAACTAATTAGAAAAACGAAAAGTTTTTTTGAAGTTAAAATGCAAATCAAAGCCAGCAAGGATTTTGGGTGCGTTTACACCCCGTCTTGTCGTTTCTGTTTCGGTGACGTTCTCCGCGTTGTTCTGTTTATCATTCTGAGGAGGGAAATCCCAATTATAACAAAAACGGTTGCACACTTACTCCAAAGAAAGAAATAATACAAAGAAAATCTCACTTTTTAAAGTCTACAAATGGACACGTAAGAAAAAGTAAGCTTGGCGACGTTGTCTACATTGCGGATAAAGGCAAGATCTACTTGCGCGAAAAAATTGCGTGACAAGAATCGAACTCAAGGAAGAGTGGTTCTCGAAAACACGGTTTTTGGCAGCTTTTTCGTTCGAGTAAGAATGATTCTTGACGTGGTCAGCGTCAAAGGAGAGGTCAAGAGCTACAATATGATATACAGTTTGCTAGAACTGATTTCAAAACAGCGAAGAGAAGGGTTTCAGAGCCACACGCTCCGTGCCTCGCACGGGTAGCGAGGTAGCGCGCAACACGTGGTGACGGAGACACTCAGCGGAGAAGGGCCAGAGCCGATGGGCATATTAATCTGTTCGTGGATCACTGCAGATTCTAAAGGAAAATGCCACATTGTATATCATCCTGCTCGTCATGAGACGACTAGGAGCTGACATCGTCACGGGCGTTGTCGCTTCTTAACACATTGACAACCGTGCAGATTTTTAGTTGTCTGCCTTCTGGGACCAGGTTCTTTCACGCACCGGCCCACGTTTTTCAACTAAAATTACGCATACTGCCATCAGCAGTACACCTACACTAGTTCTGAAAAGCTGACAAAAAAAAGGTAGAAGTCATCCCTCGATTTAATGCAAAAGAAAGCTCGTGGAGTAAGTTTATCCCAGGATAGCAGTCATTCTAACAAAAGTCAAGTCTTGACACACATGGTGTGTCAAGCGGTCCCACGCGGTAGTCATTGCTTGATACACCATGTGTGTCAAGCGGTCCTCAATATGTTAAAGAGGATAAACCAGCATTTTCGTGCGACTCTCTGCGCATAATTGAAACGCATTTTCTCGTTTATTATTCAACTCCAGCAGCCTTCGACAGCTTTGAAACTCAGTCAAAGTCTAATGAGAGTTTAGTCAAGATTTGTCTTTATCTCCAGTACATATACCCAAAAATTGTTTACCATGAAAAAGGCCATAAAAAGCGTAATTTTTGGTTTTGCTTGGATAATCTTATATATAAAGCTGAATGTCTGTTTGTCTGTCTGTCTGTCTGTCTGTATGTCTGTCTGTCTGTATGTCTGTACGTATGTTCCGAATAGAAAATTCCATTTCTGAACCGATCCGGACCAAACTTGGCACACATACACTACGAGCCCCGGCGGGTGTCATAGGCTACTTTTCGTCATCGATCGATATCGATTTTATCGATTTTTATCGATTTTTTTGCTGAGTTCACCTACGGGGCTGGGAGTTGGCACAGGGGGGTAATCGAGCATGGGGATTCCGAATACAATATTGGTTTTCAGGATTATCGATTACTTTTATCGATTTTATCGATTTTTTTGCAAAGTTTGAGCTACGGGGCTGGCAGTTGGCACAGGGGGGTAATCGAGCATGGGGATTCCGAATACAATATTGGTTTTCAGGATTATCGATTACTTTTATCGATTTTATCGATTTTTTTGCAAAGTTTGAACTACGGGGCTGGGAGTTCGCACAGGGGGGTAATCGAGCATGGGGATTCCGAATACAATATTGGTTTTCAGGATTATCGATTACTTTTATCGATTTTATCGATTTTTTTGCAAAGTTTGAGCTAGGGGGCTGGGAGTTGGCACAGGGGGGTAATCGAGCATGCTGATCATCCCCAAGGGGGGTGATCAGCATGCTCGAACACCCCTGTGCCAAATTCCAGCCCCCTAGCTCAAATTTTCAAAAAATCGATAAAATCGATAAAAGTAATGGACGATCTTGAAAACTAATATTGTATTCGTAATCTGCATGCTCGATTACCCTCTGTGCAAACTCCCAGCCCCGCAGGTCAAACTTTGCAAAAAGATCGATAAAATCGATAAAAGTAATGGACGATCCTGAAAACTAATATTGTATTCGGAATCCCCATGCTCACTTCCCCCTGTGCCAACTCCTAGCCCTGTAGGTGAACTCTGCCAAAAAACCGATAAAATCAATAAAAGCAATCGATAATTCTGAAAACTAATATTGTATTCGGAATCCCCATGCTCACTTCCCCCCTGTGCCAACTCCTAGCCCTGAAGGTGAACTCTGCCAAAAAATCGATAAAAATCGGTAAAATCGACATCGATC